ACACCTGTGCAATAATCATGCTGTCTAATCAGCATCTTGATATGCCACACCTGTGAGGTGGATGGATTATCTCGGCAAAGGAGAAGTGCTCACTAACACAGATTTAGACAGATTTGTGAACAATATTTGAGAGAAATAGGCCTTTTGTGTACATAGAAAGAGTCTTAGATCTTTGAGTTCAGTTCATGAAAAATTGGGGCAAAAACAAAAGTGTTGCATTTATAATTTTGTTCAGTGTATGTTGGTCCCCATAGACTTCCATAGTAGGAAAAAATACTATGGAAGTCAATGGGGACCAACAGCTGTTCAGTTACCCATATTCTTCAAAATATCTTTTGTGTGTGTGTGTTTTTTGTTTTTCTGCTGAAGAAAGAAATTCATACAGGCTTGAAACAACTTGGATAAGTTAATGATGACATACCTTTTGGGTCAACGATCCCTTTAAGCAATGATGTTTTCTATTCCCCCCAACATTATTAAGTAAAGCACTGCATTTGACACTAGCTCTCACTTACTTATTTTAAATATTATACATTTTACCTCATCTTTCTGACAAAAGCCTGCCTAGGCGACATGGTTTTACTCATGCGGATGTCCAGCACCATCTAGTGGCCAATTTGCTTCATCTTTTTCAGTTAATTAATAAATTGAGCTTTATTTATTTATTTATTTTTCAGAATTACAAAAAGTTTAAAATGTGAAAGTTGAAATTTAAGCAGGCTGTTAATATTTAGTTTTGATTTGTAATGGTCATGTTTCATGAGCTTTGTGTTCTGTGAATAAATTTAAAATCATATCATTTTTAATTGATTGTGCTTTGAAAAAGCTGTGAATTCTTGTTTAATCATATTCTTTAGATCATTTAAGAATTCACAGTTTTTAACAAATTCAAACAGTTATGTTTTCAACCACTGATGGAGATGTTGATTTGACTTCCCAAAAAAAGAAAAAAGAAAGAAAAGACGAATACCTTCCATCTCATATCACACAGACCACTGAAAGAATATGTGGTGCACTGCTTCTTAGATACAGCAAGACCGCCTCGTCTATTGTGTGCTGTCTTTTGCTTGCAACAGACGTTTCATTCTGAAATATTTTCCAAGACGCTAACGTCTTGTGTTAGGGAATGTCAACATTTGCAGAGAGTGGCCCTGCTCTAATCCGGCAGACTGTGGGATAGAGAGAGGATTAGGGGCTAGTTTGTTTTCCTGGTCCCCTGGAATGTTTCTTTAGCAGTGCTTTTGTACCTGGGCCAGGCCCAAGGTCATCCCTATGTCTCCACGCAGCTCCTTTTGTGTCTTCCAGCAAGTCTCAACCACACAGAGTCAACACCGCTCCCTCCTCAAAAGCAGAATGTGAGTGGAATTTCAATCCTTGTCGCAACACTCTCTAAATGTTACTTACTTTTCTCATTAAGCAATTTGAGTCCCCACCACCACCAATGTTGTGTTTGAGTAAAATGTTGAGGGAAAAAGATCAGCATACCAGTGTATCTCCCAGCCTGTCTGCATCATTCATCACAGGTTTTGTGCCTGGTGTCTGATTGAAGTCTGATGGATTAACTGACTCAGGTGGGCAGTGTTATTGAGCTAGTCACTGCTTGAACTTGTGCCAAAGTTGAGCTTCGTTGCTTTCAATTATTTTAGAGCTTTACGTGAATGAGCCTTTCTACATCTCTACATAAGCTCTTGTAGAATGAATTGAATGGCCTGTGAATCATCTACATCATGCCTCACATGTTATCAGTACTTTACCAATACTTGCAGTTAAAACTCTGGTGTTTCTTTCTTCACTAAGACCTTTTTGTGGCTATTTTTGCTACATTAAACAAATTTCATCCAAGACTGTTCAGGTCTTTCAGGAATATGTTTTGCTCATGTTGAGCTTGTAGAGCTTGATTTGACTACCGAGAGACTAAAAAATTATTGATTTGTTTTGTGAGGCATATATTTGGTGCTCCCCTAACATCTGTTAGGCCAACTGCCATGAGAATGCACTAACAATCATGTGAAAGGTTACATGGAGAAGAACGTTTCAATTAACTTCTTTATACTTGTAATGCACAGGGTTCTATTTGTATTTTAGCTACTGATCTGCATTTTAATTAGCAAGCTGCTTTTCGTATCAATGTAAAGATATAATTTAGCTATGTTATAATTCATGTTGAAGGGATGTTGGTTTGGAAAATTAAAAAGATTTAAATACAAAACATTTTAAACTCAAGGATAATCAATCTCTGTTTCTGTAGGATTTTAGAAAAAAAAAAAATATGCACAGATGCTGTCTTTGGTCACAAGGAAACCTGAAGCATACAGTCTGACAGAGCCATAAAGATCCAATAGATGGCGCACTACATCAGCTGTGAGATACTCTAACTGAGGACGTTAAAAGCATCATAGCATCATCAAGCATAATAGACATATTTTGATGTGATATAAAATTTCTGTTCTCGTGCACTGCAAAGTAATGGTTGCCAGAACGGTGACTACACTAATGCAAACGCTTTGAAATTGGTGATCAGGGATTTTTACTTTATGAATAGATATTTAGCCTAATAATTAATCAGTTTTGTCGAAAGTCTTAGTGAAACATTGGTCTTACCCAAACATCTTACTAAAAAATTTCAAAGGTCGAGGCCAAATGTTCATTCTAACCAATAGCCTATTTAGGAAATTAGTCACGATTTAGGCTACTGCAGTTTTCAGTTATATATTTTGCTGTTCTAAAAACTATTTCTGCTGTTGCTATTTCTAAAACAAATTCTGAATTGCCTTTTCAGTTTTTGAAACTTTTAAAATACTTTTAGCACTTTTTACGCGGGAGCAATTTATGGAGAGCTTAGGAGAGGGTCTTAAAAGTATTTATTATATTTAGCAAACGATTCAGTAAAGTTAGATTACAAGTTATTCCGAATGCAAGAAGTAGACAGCAGCGAACAAAAGTCGCGCTCCCCCGTGGGGTAACCATAGCAACAGAAGGCTGCTTAGGATCCGTGCGTACATAAATCCGATACTGTCATTATTTACCACTTTGTTAAATATGTACTCTGTGTATTACACGTGAATAACAAAATGTTTTCTTTAAATTTCCTTTAAAAGTCGTCTCATGGAAGTCATCGAATAATTTGCACACTGCGTACCATGAATTTATTTTGAGTATTTTTGTCAAGAAATGTACATTTAAACAAAAAGTGTTAGTGTAGTGAATACACAAACGTTGGAACAGTGGTCAAAACAATGACACTTGACATACTCGACATAATGACATGAACAGTTCGTTGATACATCGCAACTGTTTAAATCAATTTAACACGCTCCCGTACTTATTAGCACTTACGAAATTAGATTCTGGAAATACTTTTCGATCCGTCAAAAATCTAATATACAAACCTGTGTATAAAAATATAAATTTTGGGCGCCATCCTATGCTTATCCAATAAAATAGAACAGTCGGTTGCACACTGTACAGCCCTGTATAATCTATTGTAGGTTTCACAAAAATGCGCAGTCACATCATGCTTGAATCGGTGTGTAGCTACGTTTCCAGAGACAGATGGTCCAATACAAATAAATTATTCAATGAACACTTTAAGGCTTTTCTTACAGAAAATAAGGATAGGCTACATTTGAGTCTGATGCCCACATAGTGATACTGTAGTTGCAGTCTCAACTTAAGTATGAAATCCCGAGTGGATGGAAAGAGTCTCTGTCCAGCAGCCAAGAGCCGATGTGAAAGAGCATATCTGAGTACCAGTGGATGCCGTCCTCCTGAAAAGTGACGTTTGAATCACCCGCCGGAAAAAGCCACGTCATCAGCTTGTGACTTAACCTGACCGGTGCAAAAGCCCAGTGTGCCCATTTGTGATTCTCAATAACCGCGTAACACGAAGCCAGTACCTGATCCACCATTATGGTTCCGTGAGCGGTGACTGGCGCGTAAGAGCCCTTGTGCTCTTCCGTGCAAATCCTCTTCACTGGAACGCTCTTGAGGGTCTTGCTTGTACCTTCCGACACTACAACCGTATCTCCAGGCTTCACGTTGCTGGCAAATGTTGCTGTCATACCCGAACTAGCTGAGGCGTTTCCAATGAAGACGAGGTGCGCGGCTGTGAGGGTGAGCTTTGTAAAAGGCTCTGACGTCTCGATGACGATGAATTGCCTTCTCGTTGTCGGATCGTGGTCCATGAACATAATGAAGTCGCTTAATATGACATTTCCCTCCTCGTCAGCCGCTAAAACCCGGTCGCCCACTTTAAGGTCTTTGATGTGTTTCCTCCTCCCGTCTGCGAGTGTCACCGTACCAGATCCAGGAAAGCATCCCCCTGATTTAGCAGCGACTGAATTTTCTGAGATAAAAGCAAAGGTGGACAACTTAGGCGGATATTTATATAGCACTGCAAAAATCGATGCATTGACATGATGGTGCTAGCATGGAAATGATCCAAACTCGTGTGGAGACTGTCAAGAAGCAAGTGTTGAAACGCTTGTCTGTCCATTTTGGCTCTTCAATTAACACAAACTGATCAGACATTGTCATTTAAATTGAGCCAACAGACTTAGCTTTCCCTGATCCCTTTAGTTTTGTATATCTGTTTGCACAGGTGCAGAGATTTCAACGTGGCAATTGGCCTATTGCGCACATAATTTGCCGCGTTTAACTCTTCTTGTAATGGTTTGTAATAAGATTTCAGTTACTTCAATACCAGCTGCTTTTGGTTAGAAAACCTTTCATTTATTGGTGTTAAGTTTCCTTTTTTTTCATATTCACAAATTATTCCCTTGATACCATAAGATCCCAAAATAATTCTAAAGACTGTTAAAACTATAGGTTTTGAGGCACTTGAGATGAATTTCCTTGATAGGACGTGTGAGGTGACAAAGGGTGCCAAGAAGTTCTCCCGTTTCTTCGCAATGTAAGCTATTTGCTGATTTTCTTGGATATGTTTCTCAAATAATGCACATTAACACATACATTGGATCAAATATCTAAAATATGCATCTATGTTATGGCATAAGCTGTTTGGTGAATGCATAGCTACCAGCTATAGTAATGACATTGCGCTCACCCGCTTTGACAGAGCAGTGTATGTGGGCTTTGGATTCGTAATAGACCCAGTCGAATCCTGCCTCCACTGCAAGCCTAGATAGCATCCCATACTTGCTTTTATCTCTGTCCGAGGTAGTTATGTCCACCGCCCGTCCCTCGTAGTGCAAAGATTCTTCGAAATGGTGACCATCCTCATCCCAGCCTTCAGTGACGCGCAGTTTCACACCCGGCCACTGGTTCATGACGGATATCGCCAACGCATTTAACTTGTCCTTACACCGCTGAATGAGAAAAAGAGACAAGTTGTCAGTATTTACTACACAGACCTTTCCTTTTAAAGTGTGGAAGATTTACTGAATGTCCAAAAAGGTTAAAAAAGGCATGCGCAAAAGGTCTGTCTGTCCTCCTCTCCAAGTAATTTCTGAAACTTATCCATCAAACGTTTGAGTATCTGCATTCGTATCAGCAAACGACTGTTGAAGTGACGTTTATATTCTTTGAGGTTTTTTGTTAAACACATTTGCTTGCATAATGCAGAACATACTCCTAAATTACTAAAGACTATAGATGTCATCATTTCATCGGCTTGATCCTTATCGCAATATAACCTTACGGAGTTACAGTTATAGTCTCTACATATACATCACTAAGCACATTGTCGGTCTGAGTTTGTGCGTAAAAGATGTGTGCGCTGGGGAAATCGTTTGTTGCCATAGGTCAAGAGCGCAGACTCCAGACCGACCGATCGATAACCGAGAGGAGTAAATAGAGCTGAAAATTCAAGTTCTTTCTCTCAGCCTGCGGCAGCAATCAATTACAGAGACGTTGCCACCAATGATTCGCTTAACTGCTGATGTTGCTTTAATTAAATGTCAGGCACTGTGGCACTATGGTACTGTGGACATGTGCTAATATTTTTTGTACAAGCGCAAGTTGCTTAATTTGATCCTGGAGATTGTGAGGAAAACGTGACTCATATTACACTGCTTTGTAATTCGGCTTCAAATAATTATCCTAAAGCACTGTCATTAGAGAAAACAGTTGAGCAGCTGATTGGAATGCAACAAAGCACGGTCACCACTGGAGCCAGTAATATCCAGTATACTTGAAGCGCGACACCAGCTGCAAAGATCACTTGTGACCCACATTTTTTATTAAGAACACAATAAAAGCAGGCCATGAGATCTATTTATATAAAGAAACGCAGATTTGATATTAAGGAAACGCATTAATTGATCGGGCACACCAGGAAAAAAAATATATTACGCAATGCTTACGATGTGTGGAGGCGGGGTGTTTCTGAATTTAATTATGTTATTAACTGTCAAAGGTCTGTTTGGAGAAAAGAAGAAACTTATGCTCAGCACATGCTTTCAACCACTAACACTAAATTATCAAACGGTGCCAATTTTGCACTAATGACAAAAATATAAAATCCGAATGAGCACTGAATGGTCATTTTGATTTAAGTTAAACGGAATATTGCAATTATTTAACAGTCAAAATGCAAAATTATAGCTCGCATGTTCCATGTAAAGTCTGCAAAGTATGCAAATGTTCATATTAAGAATATCACTAGCTAAGCTGTTTGATAAAAAATGTTACACATACTGCAGTGCCAATTTCCAACAGTTAAAGTTTTAGTTCTACCGCGCGCTGTCAGTGTATCCAAAGTGCCTGGAAACCTAAATAAATGTTCCCTTACAAGTTTTTACAGACTGATGCAATATGAGATTATATTAGAGTTACACCATTTTCTAGTTATGTTTAAAAAAATCTATGTTCTGTGCTGGCGCGTTAAAGAACCCAGAAAGCAATACTGATCTAAAGAACCTATAATGCAACATCACTATTTTTGTATTCTCCCAAAACCATAGGAAACTCAGAAACCGTTTACAGCAAAAATGGGGATCCATTATTTAAAAATGTGTAAATCTGGGCAATTACGCACGCATGGGTCCATACCTTGGTCATCAGCCTGTCAGCGTTTGTGTTTTCCTCGTCTTTAAAGATGATATCGGGATTATAATTCGGAATCAGCTCTTTAAATCTCTCTGAATTCCTTGTGATTTTGCCTTCGTATTTGCCGCTGGCCCCAAGCGTTTTCTCGGCAACGTTAGGAATAAATTGCTTGTAAGCCAACGGGGTTAATTTCTTTGGGTGTCTTCGTTTTCCATAACTTCTACCAGGACCACAGGCTAATCCACAAGGCGTCAGAAGCAGGCTAATAAAACACAGAAAAACAATTTGCTTCAGATGCAGCCTTACGTCCATGACGTTAAATGATCTCCTCGGATCTTTAAAGTTTAGTCTCTCACGGGGTCTTCTCGCGCGTACCGGATGGATGCTACCCAACGACCACTACCGAAGCAGGTGCAATAACGACCGCTCTCGATAGCCACTGACTGAGCACATTGGAGGTTGGCTGTCACAGCTAAGTGGGAGACGAAAGAGCGACTTAGTTTGACGGGATGTAGGGTCAGACGCTTATTAGTAGAGGCAGTCTACCCATATGAATTACAGAGTAAATCTATGACAGGGGGAGGGAGTCTATTGACTCGACGGAGTGCTGTCCAACTATGATGCCATCCAAGCAAAGACAGTCTCCATACCTCATTCGTTTCTGCAGAAATTACACAAAGGTATTCTCACGTTGCCATGGTAAACTCGAGTTTACCGGGTTTCATGTGAATGAAAATATCCAAAAAAAAGTACGATTTTTATAAGCAGTTTCAAATGAACATTAATAACAAATGGTTATGAAAAGTTTTTTTTTTAAGATCAAAAATATGCTGTATATCAGAATTGCATTATTTCAAATCAGCCCTTTATAATTTGTTTTAATGCACCCTTTTTAAAACGATGTGTGTCATAAATCAAGGTCATATTGCATCCTGCTTGAGGTTAATGTGCCAAATTGTACATTCTTTTGTAATTGAAATAAAGTCCTTAGAGTTTTAAACAATCTGATAAATGTAAAATGACTCTTTGTATCCTTGTGCTGTCTCTCCATTTCTATTCCTTCTGAATAATTTATTTATTTATTTTGTAGTCAGAAACTTCTCTTCAAGACTGGTAGACCTCATGAAGTGTCAGCACAGCAAGAAGCACAGGACCCAAAATCTTTGGCATGGCACAGCCTTTAATAAGGCCATTTTTGAGGGGCTCTGTAGCGCACACCGTTTGACCTACAGTCACCAAAATTCATACATAGACCTCATCAGCCCAAACAGCTTTCGTGCTGACAGTCAGCGCTCCGCCCGAACAGGAAGTCGACTATTCAGGGTTTTGTGAAAAGCACATGCTGTGGAATTTGCAATACTCCTCCTAGGATTTTCATCCGATCGCCACCAAACTCTGTCAACATGACCTCAAGACATTGGGGATGCTAAATAGCCAAGGGAATGTTGATATCTCAAACGGTTTGGCCATTGCGAAGTGACAAATTTATGGTGAGAAATGAGAAGGAACAGGAAGTGTCTAATAACTTTTTTCACACATTGTCTGATTTTGATCAAATGTCAGCAGTTTGTTTGTTGTATGAGGTCAATCACATAGATATGACTATTAGGAGTCAAAGTTATAGCACCACCAACTGACAGCAGGAAGTGTCTGAAATCAGCATCTTATTTTTACTCGATTTTCTTCAAGCTTCATCAGAATAATAAAGTCAAACTTGAATATTCTTTTCAGGTGTTTTTAAGGCACTTAACATGCTTAGAATTTCATGAAACTCAACACACACATCAGTATTAATGATAGTTAAACACTTAACCATAAATGGGCATGGAGGAGGCACACTACAACGCCACCTTTTGACGAAAGGTGTGTGCATGTGTGTAAAACCTTATTGTAAAGTGTTACCACAGTTTTATGTATTATTTTCTCTGTGTGTGTGTGTGTGTGTGTGTTTCACACTCTTCATGTTATAGTGTAACCCTTTCATTGCTGCAACCCTTAAAACCAGACTGCCAGAGGGTTATTGTAAATGCATGTGCCTGCTGTGCACCGCCTTCCTGATGCCACCGGGGTGGCGGTTGCACTGATGGCTTGGGCCCATCATTGCTGCTTGCAGCTATCAAGTTCAAGTTTCAAGTTTGTTTTATTTATATAACACATTTAAAAACAGCAAGCACGGCTGACCAAAGTGCTGAACAAACAAAGACATAGAACACATGGCAACCCACAGATTCATACCATAAACTCACAATGAATTAAAAGCCAAAGAAAAGAAATAGGTTTTAAGAGATTATTTAAAAACAATTAAAGACTGTGCCAATCTGATATAGGCTGGAAGGCTGTTCCACAGCCTAGGGACAGCAACCGCAAAGGCTCTATCCCCTCTATGCTTTAACCGTGATCAGGGGACAGAGAGAAGTCTTTGATCACCAGACTTCAGATTTCGTGTAGGATTGTATGGATAAAGTTGATCAGATAGATACTGGAAGGCTGTTCCACAGCCTAGGGCCAGCAACCACAAAGGCTCTATCCCCTCTATCTATGCTTTAACCGTGATCTGGGGACAGAGAGAAGTCTTTGATCACCAGACCTCAGATTTCGTGTAGGATTGTAGGGATAAAGTTGATCAGATAGATAGCTCAGTGCCAGATTATTTTTAGATTTAAAAACATAGAGAAGAATTTTGAACTCAATTCTAAGATGCACAGGTAACCAATGCAACGATTTCAAAATTGGAGTAAAGTGATCAAATTTACGTTGTCCTTTGAGGAATTTAGCAGCAGCGTTTTGTACTAATTGGAGACGAGCGATGGAAGATTTAGAAATGCCAACATAAAGAGAGTTGCAGTAGTCCAAGCGAGATGTAATGAGCTCATGGATAGCAATCTCTAAAGTTTTCACATAGAGAAAAGATTTAATTTTGGAGAGAAGGCGTAGCTGAAAAAAACAGAAACTAATAACCGCATTTATTTGTTTATCAAATTTAAGACTCCACAGGAAGGTTTAGCAGGCAACAAAGAAAAATTACCCAATCTGACAGAGAAATTTCTATTTGTTAAATATGATTTGAACCAGCTAAGAACAGTTCCCTGGATGCCCACAAAATATTCTACTCGAGATAAAATAATTTTATGATCAACTGTATCAAAAGCCGAGGTTAAGTCTAACAGAATTAGGATAACAGAGTCACCTATATATTTTCTATTTGTCTTTGGCAGGGAATAATCAGGGCATCCAAAGTCCAGTCATTAATTTCTGTCCATAGGTCAAAGTTTTGATCCTGAGTGATGACATCTGAAAGTGTACACTGTAAAAAAAATTCCGTAAAATTTACGGTAAAAAACTGGCAGCTGTGGTTGCCGGAAATTTTGGCAGTTTTTCACCGTATATAGTAGGGGAATTTACCGTTAACCATTTAACAGGTTTTACTGTAGCATTTTTACAGTCTTTTACCGTTAAATTCACGGTCATTTTTTACAGTGTAGGTTAAATTACACACTCATCCTATTTGCTGTTTTGTCTTTACAAACTAAGTCTTTAACAAAACAGGTCCACATCATAATTCTAATAGAAAGTCTTGTTATAAGGTAAAAGTTGGCATTATCAAGATGATCATAAAGCATTTCTGACTGCTAAAAATTTGCTACATGTTGAGTCTGTTGATTGTTTATATGTACTGTTGTTTGTGCTGCTTTAGTAAATATATCAGCATATTTTCTGATTATTAGATTTGATCTGATCTCTTTCGACCCTCATTGAGGGGATTTTGTTTTGTGGAGGGGGTTTGTTGGTAGGCGAAATAAATGAATGGTGCATCTCTGAATTTATAACACCTACCTGGTTTGGACTTTCAAGGGCTTCTGAAAGTTGGCATGTGAGTGAGCAAAAACTCACTCTCTTGCCATTCTATGGTTTGACCCACAGATGACTCGGTTACACTTGAAAACACTAAATATGTCCCACTCTTAGAATTAATTGGGTAGACTGTTTATTTATGAGCTTCAGGCACATATTTATACAATATTTTGTGTCATCATTTGCTGAAACAAATCTATTTAGGTGATATGAATAGGTATAGCTATACACAAATAGTTTGTGCATAAGGATTTGTTAACAGGATATGTCGGACTGTGAGATCATTTCTGCAACAGGTGTCTTTCAAGTGTCCCACGATGGAATGAAATGGTCATTTAATCTCTTCAGCCAATCAGAAATCATAAGTAGAAGTAGAATATTAAACAACTTTAATAAACTTTGATTTTCTATGCTTAGATGTTCAACTTAAAATGAGATAAAAGAAAATCCATTTGTTTAATATCCAGTGCTACACAACCATACACATACAGTGGGTACGGAAAGTATTCAGACCCCCTTAAATTTTTCACTCTTTGTTATATTGCAGCCATTTGCTAAAATCATTTAGGTGCTTCTACTAAATACTGAGCAAAGGGTCTGAATACTTAGGACCATGTGATATTTCAGTTTTTCTTTTTTAATAAATCTGCAAAAATGTCAACGATTCTGTGTTTTTCTGTCAATATGGGGTGCTGTGTGTACATTAATGAGGAAAAAAAATTAACTTAAATGATTTTAGCAAATGGCTGCAATATAACAAAGAGTGAAAAATTTAAGGGGGTCTGAATACTTTCCGTACCCACTGTATATAGTCTTCATTGTCCTCTTCTCGCAAAATATATAGTCCCGCAATCACTCTTAAAAGGATGAGGTCACCTTAACTCAACAAAAGCTCAATTTGTTAGATGAAACCATTCATGCTTTTGATTTAGATGGGATGATGTTGGAAAAGGACATCCTTACATCATTTGGCTGTCTTGGCAACCAGCGCTGTCAATCCTGACAGCTCTGAATGAGACATGCTTTAATGAACAGACACAGGGGTTATGCTCTTCAAAGTTAGGACTGAAATCTGATCTCCCTTTGAAAAAGACAAACTTTTGAGTTACAATATGTACAGACCAGTAGGCTAGTCCAATAAATTAGACAATATTTTGAAACAGCAGTGATAGTTGCCCCGTGTGCCAGAATTTTTAGTAAATATTGGATTAATTAAATTTATCCTTTTTGTGGGATATATATATATATATATATATATATAATATTAAAGTCAATAGTGTTTTAATTTATAGTAAAATATGAGGACAATGTATAAGCTATTTATCAGTCAATGTCTGCTGTTAACTGTATCTAAAACCATAATAATAATTACTGCACTTTTCCTTCATCGCAATATACTCAGATTAAACATAAGCAAGAATTAGCATAATAACTGTTGAAATCACAGTTACTGAGTATTCAACCCCTCTAACCTTTGAAAATGCAGGAATTCAAAGGAAAACTTATCTGTGCATCAGTTGTAGTTGTTTCATGGTTTATGTGAGTGCCGACCATCCATCTGGTCAGGTCTGAAAAGCATGCTTGAACCATTCCTTT